TTAGCCGCGCGAACGATCGTGAGAGCGTTTATTATTTCACCAAGGGGTCGTGGGCTGGGTGTATCGCGTGCACGCGCTGCAATTCCCCTCACGACCATTACCCTACAGGCAAGAATAGATTCGATTCCGTGGATTTCGGAAGCGTTTTCACCACACGCTCCCGCTCAAGTGATAATTTCTATCGCGCCACACAGCAACGCTCCTCGAACCGTGGCTACTATATGCCTGTGTCTGTGTTCACTCTAATCGTCGTTCCAGTCGATACTTGTTACACGTCGAGATGTGTCGAGAGCAATGTTCTTTTATGTACAAGGCACGAGGAACACGCGAGCTTAATTGAACGATTGTCTGACGGGGATTGGAAATCGTGATCGTGTATATACACGCGTGCTGAGAGCTTTGCCTTTGACCGCTAGGATAGCTGTTGCTGAAATACCTTGCTCCAGGGGATACCGGTCCAATTCTGAAACAACGTTTCGATTCGCAACCACCGGGGTTAAGAGTAGCTCGGCGGTTTAGTGGGTCGAGGCTACCATTCAACGTCGTCGTAAATCATTCTTGTCTTTGTCAATATCGTTGTGTCGTCGATGGACGAAATTCGTATCGTTTAACCGTATGAATTATATCCCTTTTTCGCTATTTAAGAGGTCGTATACGAAAGGGTTAATCACCAAATACATCCTTCAATCGCAGGATTCCGCGGTTATCCAGGTAATAGCTGGTCTCTCGCGGTTTAATTGAATCCGTGCTAATTAATGACGAGCTAATAATTGGAAGAACGCTCTCGCTGCTTGATGATCGTGTTACGCCCGGTAATTTCACTGTGCCTCCCCTGCCCGACTAGCTGCATTATGGGAATTACGTCAGCTCGTAATGCACGCTTTTACCAGAATGCCTTGCTCGCACTTTCCTGCCCGCGACTGCACCAGTAAACGAGTTTACGATTAAAGAATCCCAATGCGACGATTGCTCGGCTCGACGAGCTGATAATGTCGCGAATTGGAGAGAAATCGTCGGAGTTCAGAAGTCGATCTTAAATATAGCGGAGTATAAATAAACCGATCTTTTTATCGACACAACGCGCGAATTGGAGCGTGCGCGAAGGGTCTCAGTGACCGATTGTCAATGAGCGTTCGAACTGAAATTTTATACAGACGTCGGTATTACTATTATTAACGCCTAGAAATCGAAACCCAGGAGAAATGGTTCTTACGTCGGTTGGAGTTCAAGTCTCGGTCGGGCGTCTTCGCGGCAAGGGTTTGGCTAGAGTGCAGACACTCGCTGAAAGGAGGTATCAGGCATAAGTCTGAGGCGCTCCAAATGTCCGAAGAAGGCGGCGAACAATAGTTGTCGATGGATGCGAATATGCTACACACTAGACTTGGCCATCCCTGACTGCAGGGACTTTTGCTCTCGGTCTCCAGTTTTTGGACCGAGATGCTGCACCAAATCTTAGCTTCTCGTTCGCCATAACGAGAGAATGACCACGATTTGCCAAGGAATTGATTCTGTCTCTTGGACAGAGACGGAAATGTTCTCGAAACGAAACGAAAATCGAGCCAATAGGTAGATTTTCTCACAGTCCTCGAGAAGCCTTAACTGCAAACGATCTCGTGGGAGTGGGCAAACGTTCGTTATCGAGGCTGAACAGTATCGACCCACGCGACGAGCGACGCACTTCCGGTCGAGCCGCTCCTTTTCGACCTGTAGATGGGTCCCGTGCACCTTCCACTCTGGTTTAATCGGTGCCCATTCCCCTGGAAGGCCTCGAGGCCGCACGCGAACCTGCTTAAGAGATTCCCGCGAGTCCCGAGATACCGATTTAAGCCACTCTGATTTCATTGGGCAGCCGTACACTGGGGCGTTGATACTTAGCGGCCCTCGTGTTCCTCCTCTCGTGGGTCCGCTCGCGATGCCGTTTTCAGCGGCAGCCCGCAATTTGCCCGTAATTATTATGTTTATCTTTCTCATTCACTTAAGACCCGGCCGTGTGGCCGTTTCGCCCGTCGATTTTCAACCGAAACGATTTCGTCCCTCGCTGCGAAAGCTGACGCCGCGCCACGCGTCCACCATTATGCTCGAGGGGCGTTCACGGGACGATCCACTTTGTCAAACTCGATTTGCGTGATTCCCTTCTCTCCTGTTCAACCCACCGAATCTCAACGTCTGACAATTAACCGGAGGGTATTATCCTGTCGCGGAACGAACCTGATATTTTTCGGCCAGAGTGGACGCAGAGAGGAGAGAACGAAGCCAGGCTAGACGCTCTTTAGGTAGACAGATCTCGCGCGGGAGATTCGATCGTTTCCTCCGACGTTCGAACGTTCGCACACGTGAGTGACGTACGAATTTTGAACGCGTGAGACCAGACGGCCACGCGTCAGAGTTATTACGTCTGTGAAAGGCCGGCCCCGATGATCCACTTTGTCAAACTCAATTTGCGCGATTCCCCTGCCACGGACACACCGCGCAGACCTCGCTCTGCACTCGACAATTCGCAGGGTGCTAGGTAACGAACGTTCGCGTGTGCTTGGTGACAGTGACGGGGAAAATGCGGATGGAATCGTCGAGCGTGTTCTTTGGAACGGGGAGAATGACGGTTGGAGGGACAGCACAGAAGATTTTCTAACGACGAGAAAGTGCGACGTTCGATGGTAAAAAATCTAGATCCCATTCTAGAGAGTAGAATTCTTCTTGGTACCGGAACTCGCGAATCCGCCGAGAGTTAGCTCGGACGGATTGTTCGGTGCGCCGGAGGTCCGTGGAAAAGTGTAAAGAGCGTGCACAGGGACGGGGATAGCCTGGCGAACAGGAGGAAGAGAGAAAGATGAGGAGTGAGAGAGACAAGTAGGAGGAGAAGGGAGAGAAGGTTGAAGGAGGTTGGCGAAGAGAAGAGGAGCGGAGGGTCGAAGGAGTAAGTAGAAGAAGAAGAAGAAGAAGAAGTTAAGATGGTCCAGCGCGGGCAGCATCAGCATCGCAGCCGGAGGTGATGACCTGCTCAAGGCCACCCGCTCCCAACCTCTTAGAGACCGGAGAGGAGAACCACTCTTCTTATTTTTCGTTGCTCTCTTTTCTCTCTTTCCACCGGCTCTTCTCCCTCCTTCCTTCCGATTCTCTCTCTCTCGCTCTCGTTTCCTTCGCCCAGCCTGTCCTCTCTTCCTGTTCTCGCCGCTACTCGACTGGTTCTCTCCCTCTTTCTCTCTTTCTGCTCTCTCACAGCCTTGCTGCGAGGTTCCCTCGGTCGGAACCCTTAATGTCAACTTCCCGCCGGCCCTTTCGTCGAGCTCCTCTTCCCCCGTTCGATCGCCATTCAAAAATGTCCACCGAAAAATCGTGGAGCTATGAAAACGACACGCTACATCGTTCACGAGGAGAGAGAAAGGGAGAGGAAGAGAGTACGTTGGAGAGATCGTTTTCAGCGGTTTTTCGTAATGGAGGAGATTGCGATTTTTGCAAATTTCCCATGATTGGACAGCATAGGAGGAAGCTTCCTAGACTAAACTGTCCGTAAAATTGAAACGGACATGGAATTTTAACGGTCGATTAGGCTACGCGTCTATCGTGGTGTTGGAGCGTGCACCGCGGCGCAGCGCAGCGCCGTCCGAGCTTTACGATGCACCGCAAGAACTCGTAAAGCGGCTGATATCGCTCGCCTTAATCTGCTTGCGCGGCAAAAGCGTTCCCGGTGTCGAGGAATGCGCCGCGCCGTCCTCCCACCGGCGAAAACTCCTCGTTACGCCGCCCTCGCTAATTCAATCCACTGTTTTTCCAGACCTTTTTGCCCAGAGAGAACGCTCGGCAACGAGCGAAAGTGTATCCTGCTTTATCCATTCCGCGTCTCTTCTTTCGGTTACCTTCACTTCCAAATTAAACGCCGTTCAATCGAAAACGGTGAAATTATCTCCTACTCGACCCTTTCACCGAGAATCTTCCATTTGCGTGCGTGATGCATTCTTTTTTTTCGAATCGTTACGTGAAAAATTTCTCGCGAATGTTCAGAAAAGAAATTTGAATCCAGCGTTCGTAGCGAAAGGGTTAACGAGAATTCGGTGGAAGGATTCGGAAGCGAACGGTGCCGGTCTCGCGTTCTCGTCGCATTCCACACCGCAGGCTTCTCATCTCGGCGACCCAGCATCCTCCTGCTCGTTAATTGCAGCCCAGAACTCCCCCCGTACAAAACTACAGACCGTAATTTACCGAATCTATTTGCAGTATCGACGCAAATTATAGCAATCAAATTCACTTTCCCGAAAGTGAAGACCGTAGAGGCGAGCGCCTAGTCGGCCGTCGTCCGGCCACCGATCAGAGATTAATTAACAGCGATGCCGAAGTTCAAAGGTTCGTTAGCGTGGTAGAGGGTAGCAACGGCCGGTCTCGTATCTCGAGATACGGATCTCTACGGGTAACATTCATTAAGCGATCAAGGTCGCGGCGAACAAGAGCCGAGAGAGTCCCCGTAGCCCGTTTAGTCTTCCGCGTATTCCGTTTATCGCTGAATGAGAGGCCTGACTTGGTGGTGTCTTGTGCATACGGAAATACGCGGCTCTTGCACTCGTGTTACACCACAGCTAGGAAATGGGAAGCTTGAATTCAGCTTGATCCGACTGTGGTACACACAAATGGACGCGTGTCGTACCCCGCTTATCCGTGTATCTGATGTTTAATAAACGGCGGGTCAACTGGAGTCAACCGAGCAGATGCGTCCTCTGCTAGCTTTGCTACAAGCTATTACCTCGATTCATTATCACTCTGGTGTGCCTCCGTTTGTGTGCTTACGCGTGTTGTTGTTGTTTTTTCTCTTCTTCTTTTCGTTTCGCGACCGTCAGCCGCTTCGTAATTTTTCTTAATTGTCAACGTCATCCGCGATACACGACAGCGTCGGAATCGCGGCTGTGGAAAAGCGACGAAAACGCAGTCTGTGTCTCGAGTGCCGTTTGACAACATCGCTTGTAATCGTTCTGTACTTTCTTCACGCAGTTTCCTTTATTTTCTGTTCGCAGCACGGAATGACGAGGTAGATAGCGCGAGTCGAACAGCCAACTTCAACGAAGCTGTCGCTGAAAATCTACACGCAGGTAAGGGGATATTTCTTACGGTACCGTATGAGTAATTTGCTGTTTTTCTCGTCACGTTTGATGCGTACTTTTAGAGTATAGTCGGTGGGGTCGGTATTGTGAGGTAGTGAATTGAAGTATTAAATAGTCGTTTGCGAATTAATATGCAGATTTCTTGCGGCACCAATGAGTAATCTATTTTTCTTATCGTCACTTTCCACGCGCAGTTTTAAGTGTAGTCGGTGGAATAGATATAATAAGGTCGCAAATTAAAGCATTGAATAGTCATTTGCGAATTAATATGAAGATTTCTTGCGGTACCAATGAGTAATCTATTGTTCTTATAGTATAGTCGGTGGAATCGATGTAGTAAGGTCGCAAATTAAAGCATTGAATAGTCATTTGCGAATTAATATGAAGATTTCTTGCGGTACCAATGAGTGATCTTCGACGCGCAGTTTTAAGTACAGTCGGTAGAATCGATATAGTAAGATAGTAAATCGAAGCATTAAGGGGTAGTTAATTAATTTGTCAGTTAATATTAAAAATTTCTGCTTACAATCTTTCATTGAAGCTACGCGATATTAAACATTCTACGTAATATGTATAATAGTAATTGCCGTATTGGTAAAAAATTAACCTGTAGGTGTTGAGGATTAAGGTGCAGACAAACTTTTTAAATACACTGGAATGCAAGTGTACCAGTTCCAAGGAGAACAAGCTTCCTTATTTTTCTCAAGCTGCTGTTTCGGACCTCCCACTATCGCTTCCACCGACTATACAATTGAGAACTTAGTCTCTGCATAAACCTACACTCCCACCCATAAATCTCTAGGCACGTTATACATTCAAATTAAGAATAAATCTACTTAAAAATTGGCGCTAACCTGTACTAATTATTTGCATTATAAAAAAGGTAAATTATTAAGTCTTTGTAAGACCTTACTATAAAGCAATCCCAATGATCACTATGTCCAAATGTACCAAGTGTCCAGTGATTTATAAACAGGAGTGCATAGTACCTACGTGCCACGACACAACGATGTCGTAAAATCACATTTCGGATAAACGTTCCTTAGAAACCCTCAAATAACCCGGCCGAATTTGTCGGTTCCACTGGAAACCAAAAAAATGGCCATTTCGAGCATCCTCCTTTCCAAAGGCACGCTCGTTCGCGCGGCATTCCGTCCGCAGATGGTGGCTGGTGGAAAGGCCGCGGCTGGCAAAGCAAGCGAGCGAGCAGAGCGGATTTTTGCGAAGCGGTAACGTCGGCGTGACCGACAATCGTTCCGTGGCGGCGGCGTGCAACAATGGTGCTAAGCCGCGAATGGCCGCCGCTTTACGACGCGATGGCCCGTCCTTCGGCCGGTGAAAGTCCGCAAGAATTCGCCCTCGATCGTGCCAGGCGAACTTCACATTGAGATACTCCGCGTGACGTGTCACGAACTCGCTCCCCGGGGCCGGTAATGAACGCCTCGTGTCGGCTCCAGGACGAAAACGAACAACGGGGCCCACGGGACTATCTTTTAGATGTCGGAGTCACGATTCTCATTCCGCGCATATTTCTCCGCGAGGAGATACCCGCGTTCCAACGTGGCTCGCTCAAGCTGCGACCACAGTTCCGCTCGGCAGTTCGCTCCACCGCGTTAACGCTCAACACTCGCTCGATCCTCTCCCGGAATATCTTTTCCTCGAAATCCTTCGTTTAACGGACGTATAAGCCTTCCTTCTGCTTTGCGGCGCTAACTTTAGCAGCGGTAACTTGGTCTGCGATGGAATATTTCTTGAAATTTAGAGATTGTTTTTTTTTTTAACTACAAGTTTAGATCGAGAGACTGTACGTTTGGAGAGTTAGAGGAGATACTTTGGTTTGTAACTTCCTTGAAACAGTACTATTGATATAAATTGCTCACTGTGTGTTCTCCTTCACCTTGTTATCTGTTACTCAATCCGTTACGGGCAGTACCAAGAAAAATGACTGATAAGTACACCGACGACTGTAAGTATTAGGACACCCAGTGTGTGTGTAGAAGCGATCGTATGATTTAACAGAGGAAGTACCAGCCGGGTCAAAATGACCCATTAGCGACTTTCCCAAAGTGAATTTTTATGTAGTAAAATGTGATTAGAGAATTAGATTCGTATCGATACACACAGAAGCGTACATGTAGAAAATAAATTCGAAAAGTTATGGACGATAATGCTTGCCAGTATCGAACAATCACTTTTTTTCGAAAGTTGCTAATGGACCGGTAGTTCTAGTGTTAAATTACATTTCCTTGCTAACGTTAGTGTCGTATATTAGTAAAAATATAAATGTGCGCTTGTTAAATAATTTTGTAATAAATTTTCTGAGTCGAGGAATTTTGTATTAAACTTGTCATGACTAAGAGATTTGCGTCACGTTTGGTAAGCAGATTTTAGCTTTCAGTAGTGTTAGTAGAATTCACAAGAATTCAGTAGACCTCGATTTTGACTAAAATTTGACTAGAATACAAAAAAATTCAGTAGGTCTCCATACATTTCATCAGAATACGGTAAATCTCAGTATGCCTGACACTATCAGTAAAAATTTAATTTTGTTTTAGAATCTTCATCATTTCGTAGTGATTTTTCCGAGTCGAATAATTTTATATTTGGCCTTGTGTCACATTCAGGAAGTAGATTTTAGGTTTCGGTAGATTTTGACTAAAATTCAGAAGAATTCAACAGAACACAATAGATCTCACACTCAGCAAGTGTCCCAATACTTCCGACCAAGAGTACACGGATAATAAAGCAACCGCGATCTACCAATCCGATTGCCCAACATTGCTGTCGAACTAGTCAGATAAAACATTGCAAAATGACTGGAAATAAATGCTCCAACAGTTCCGCACAGTATCATCCTATAGACATAACAATCTCTCGCGTAAGTAGATCGCAAACGTTAATTAGAACAAGGCGCTGCGAAATTTCCTAGAATACGGAATAGAAACGCGCCACTTCCGAGAAAACGATCAAGATTGTTACAAGAAGAATGACTTAACCGATCAGCTGAAAGAAACGAGGAAGCGCGTGTGTGTGTATAAAAGACATGCGGGCGGCGAGAATAGAAAAAGAGGCGAGCGAGTATCGAAGCTCGTTGATTCGATCTCCTTACCCGAGAACCGTATTATTTCCGTTCGCTGTGATACACATACATTACTTCTTTTCCCAGTGAACGTCGACGCACCAGTTTCCCGTAAAAAGAAAAAAGAAAAAACAAGGCAAACTAATTGGATAAGATTCTCGAGGTGTGATTCGCTTCCTACTTGTCCCGCGAGCCGCTCCCACGAACGGCAACGAACCAAAGTCGGCGTCATCGACGTCTCGAGGTGTAGTTACTATACGTACAAGTACGACGTGCCGCTGGCTTCAATGCCAATGTTTCCGCATTCTGCAATCTTATTTCTGGCCATGGAATATTCGATGCATCGGTAAAACTGCATATTACCCGTGTCAAAAGCTTCATCACGCTTTCCTTAGAATTTGCGCTATTCCTCTATCTCTCCGCCATTTTCTTCGCCGAGCGCGGCGACTCGAGGATGTTATTCTTGTTGAGGGTGGACAACGTGAGTTGATCGTCTTAATTGCCTCTGAATTCTTCTTTTTTTTTTAACTTTTCGTTATTATTGCTGCCTACAGGCGTTTTGAAAGTTTGTTTGCGCTATACTGTTGGAGACTTTTGGTGCACTTTGATTCAGTGCTTAATTTTATGTTTACCCCTTTGAGGCAACTCTAAGGATGATATTTTCCAAGGCAGCAGGTCTATGGACCTCCGTTTAGAGATCTCGGGAGTAAAAGTTTGAAAGAACCAACTTGTAATCAAAATATTAGTTTTAAAAAATTACGTTAATGTTTGCTACTTCCTTATTCAAAAAAGGGCCTTCGAGTGCAAAGGGTGAACTCGTTGAATGCCACGCTAATTTTACATGGATTGCCCGTGGCGCCAAGTATTATCTACAACAGATAAGTCGAGGTGTATAATCATGTTTAACCCTTTCGCGACTAGCGCCGGTTATATCCGGCATCGGCTAAATGCTTCACACTGGCTAGCGCCGGTTATATCCGGCA